TGGGAGCCAAGGCTGAGGGGCTGGCAGTGGGTGCAGATACAAGCCCCCCCCCCCCGTCTCCTTCCCCCCCTGCCCCAGCTCCCCATGCACCACCACCTTTCTGTGCTCTCAGCGGGCGGATGAGCCCGGAGCAGGGTGGTGCTGCCGTCAAGCAGGTGCCTGGGCTCCCTGGCACAGCCGGGACGCTTTGTGAGGGCACAGCTGGGACATCCCTCCTGCCCCGGACACCCGGGTGCTGGCCGCCTGCACCCTCCTCTCGCCCGCACATCAGCCGTGGGCTCTGGCACTGGGCTGTGCCCGCGTCCTTCACGGTGCCGCGGCTGGCCCCACGCAGGGCAATGCCCCCGGGAGCAGGGCTCAGGGCAGCTCCGTGCTCACCAGCACCATGCGAGCGCGTGGCCGTGGCCTCCGCTGCCACCAGCCCCGGGGTGCATGGCATGGGGCACGGGGGGACCTGGTGGAGGTGCCTGGTGGGACGTGGCCGGCGCAGCGCAGCTCCCGCGAGGAGCGGGGCTGATGGAAGGAATGAGGAATGCTCGGCTGCTGGCTCCCTCCACCAGTTTACTGCGGGTCTCGCTGGAGATCCAGCAACAGAGAGGAGTTTCCATGGCAACGTACACAGGCCTCTCCGTTAACTTCTGCATCCCAAAATACACCCTGGGCTCACCGCGGGGCCCCGTGGCTCCATGTGCTCCCCGGATGGCTGTCAGCTCTGGCCGGGCAGAGCTGGACACCAAGGCCGGTGGGTGCTGAAGGGGCACGGGGCAGCCCAGCAGCCCCCCGGCCACTGCAGCCCTGCCTGCAGGCAGCGATGGGGCAGTGCCCGCTGAGCCCTGCCGGGGCCGGGGGCTGCGCTGCACCTCGGGGTTGTGCTGCCTGTGCCTGCCGGGGGCAGCCGGGGGGACTCTGCGGGACACGGGGCTCCCGCGGGTGCAGGAGAGGCTGAGCTGTGGAGCTGCTCCCCTGGGAGCTGCCGCTGCCCCAGCCCGCGGTCAGGAACGCAGCGGTGCCACCGCAGCTGAGCTCGGGCTTCCCGGCAGCGCGTGCCGGGAGCAGATGTCTCGGTCCCTGTTCCCAACCGTCCCCACGGCCCTGGCCCCGCAGGAGGAATTGCCATGTAAGGAGCAGGTGGTGCCATTTACAGTAAGTCCCCGGCTGCTGCACAGCACAGCCCTTTCCTGCATCCTACTGGGAAACGCGGCGGTGGATGTGGGAACGTCCTGGCGCTGCGGGGATGGGGAGCGGAGCAGGAGGAAGTGCGCGAGGGCTGTGCCGCGGGGTCGGGGTGTGCACTGCGCTCCCCACCTGCCTCTGTGGCCCCAGTGGAGGCGGTGCTGCTGCTCGCTGACACCGTCCCCGGGTGTCCCAGGTGCAGGCCGGGGCTCACGGCACAGCCTGGGCTGCCAGGAGCCTGCCTGGAGGCAGCTGGCGGGGGCAGAGGGGCTCCGAGCGGGGAGGTGCCCTCGTGCCACAGCCGCTGCTCCAGCCGGGGCACCAGGCTGCTGCCCACGCTCCGGTGGCTGGGGCAGGCTGCTCATCCCCGTGTGGGGCTGCGGTGCCTGGTGAGCCTGCCCTGCTCCCCGGGGATGGCCTCGGGGTGTGCCTGGTCGGGCTTCCCCGCACCCAGGGTGCCCGTGGCAGAACCGCGTGCCCGGCCGAGCTGTGCCAGCTGCCTGTCCTGCTGGGGGCTGTCTGGCGGCGACAATCGCAGGCTGCAGTTGTTTCCTGTTTTTGGGTCTGCAGATGCTGGTACGCACCACGGAGCGGGTTTCCTGCCACCCCCTGACCCCGCAGGGTTCGGGTTCACCATCCCGGTGGATGCTTCCTTCTCGTGCCAGTAACCAGGCGGCAGCATGGTGGGAAGTGTCCTTGGGCTGCTCGCGGTGCGGCCGCTTGCTCCTGTTCCACGCGAACCCTGGAGAGGTGCACGGTGCCAGGTCCTCTTTTCTCCCTGCTGGGCCCCATGAGCAGAAGCACCAATCCCCAGGGCAGGATCCTGACGCTGCGTGCCCTGTGTGCAGCCCCTGCCCATGCCAGGAGGAAGAGCCCTGCTTGGGGCTGGCTCGTTGGGGCTGGTGCCCAGGACTGGGGCCGTGCACCTTCCCCAGGGCAGTGCCGGGTGGGCTGGGGGAGACAAGACCTAGCACGTGGCAGTGCTGCTTGAGGCACTGGGCACAAAGCCCCTTTGCCCTGCAGCCAGGGGCTGGGATGTTCCCATGCCGAGAGTTTTGTCCCTGCGCCCTCCTGGCACGGCTCTTGGGCACATCCCAAGGACAAGCGGGTTTTGGGGAAGCAGTGGGGCTGTGAGTGCGTCCGTCCCCGGGCTGGCCCCGTTCCCAGGGCACGAGGTGGGTGCTGCTGATGGTCACCAGACGGGGCTGACGGCTGTGGGCAGAGCCCAGCCGCATTGCCCCAGCCTGCAGCCTCCCCGGGGATGCGGCTGGGAACAGGCTGGGGGCAGCGGCACGGGCAGCCCGGTGGGACGGCGGCTCGGTGGCGGTGGCTGCAGCGCCCGGTGTGCCTGTCCCCGCTGTGCCTGGTTTGGGCTGTTAACACACGGGGCTGATGCAGGAGTGGAGGAGAGCCCCAGGGACTGCAGCCTTGGAGCTTTGTTTGCCCATCCAGGGTGGACGGGACGGGGCGTGGGGCTGCTGCCTCACTGGAAGTGCCTGCGCCTGGCCGGGGATGCTGGCTGGGTGGATGAGAGCTGGGACTGGAGGCCGGCTGCAGCATTCCCTGCCCTGCCCCGGCTCCCCGGGCAGGGTGACCCTGTCTCAGCCCCTTCCCAGTCCCTTGTGCTTGCCCTGCTTCCTGCCCCACGCTGCGGCAGTGGTCTGAGCACCGCAGGGACAGCCGTCCCCATCGGAACGAGCACCACGGGGACAGCCGTCCCCATCCAGGAAGGCTCGGGGATGGCACACTCGGCCCGGCCCTGGGCACGGTGGCACAGCGGGGGGCCGCCTGTCCACGACACGTGGCCTCTTGCGTAAGCCGGGCCAAGTCCGCTCGACTTTTCTGGGGAAGGCGAGAGGTTTGTGAAACCTTAGGCAGGGATTTGCCCACTGGCCGCCGCGTCACCGCTGCTGCGAGGTTGGGTGTATTCCAAGAACCCCGCGGCGCTCACAGGGCTTCCCGGACTCTCGAGTCAGCAGCGGGTTGCAGCACTGCGCCGCAGCCTGAGGCAAGAGGGAAGGGGCCCCGAAAGGCAGCGGACCGGGGCCCTGCTGGGAAGCGGGGCCGGAGCTGTTCCCACAGGGATGCGGGGGCTGCCGACTCCTGGTGGGCGGCTTCCCCGCTCTGCCCCACAGCGGGGCGCTGCCAGCTGCCCCCCAGGAGCCTGGGGGTGCCGAACCCCTCCAGGGACCCCGGTTACCCCTTTTCCATGCCCATCCCCAGGCCATGCGAGGTGGCTGCCCTCCACCCAGAGGGGCTCAGTGAGCGGGGCTGCCCGGTCCTGCTGGCACACCAGGTAAAATATCTTCCAGGTAGAGCTGCACCTTCCGCTGTCACGGAGCCCTGCCGGACCCCCAGCCCCGAGGAAGGCAGAGGGGGAGGCGCAGCAATTCCTGGGAGCGATGTTCCTGGTCCCTCCCCAGGGAGGCTGCGAGCTGCAGGAGTGATGCTCTCCCAGGGGCAGCTCTCCTGGGGGCTGCTCTCCCCTGCAGCCCTGCTCCCACCCCGGTCCTGCCGTGGGCTGGGAGCCCGGTGCTGCCGGGGGGCTGGGGCAGGGAGTGGCGGGGGGAGCCCTGACGTCGGGATGAGTCTCAGCAGGGCCTGGCGGGCGGCCACCCGCGCGCATGGACATTCCTCACATAGCTCTGGCGGGTGCCCGGGCAGGCTGCGAGGCGCTTCCTGGCAGCCCACGAGCCGTGGCCCCACAGCACAGCACCAAAATAGTCACTGGGGCCGTGCCGTGCCCACAGCCCGAAGCGGGCGCATTCGCCATCCCTCTGCTCCGGGGCGATTCCTAAGGGAAGCCTTCTCCCAGCGGCTGGGGATCCCTGACAGGAGCGCAGGGCACAATGCCCAGCACCGTGCACGTGGCCCCAGGGCTGGCTGCGGGCTGGGGGTGCTGAGGGGGCTCGCTGGTGATGGAGGGGCTGCAGGGCACCTGGGCACAGCCTGCTCTGTGCTGCCTGGCGGGTGGGCTGGCACCCCTGGAGCTGCCCCTGTCCTGCCAGGCGTCCAGGCACGGAACCCGGGCTCCCTCCTGGAGCTGGAGGTTACTCTCTCAGCTGTTTCACGCACCCAAGGGCTGGCACCTCCTGGCAGCTGCCCGGGGTTCCCGGGGGAATTCCTCCTCTTGCCTTGGGCACCTGCTCTGGGACAGGCTGGGGGCTGCCGGGCTGGGGTCTGGCCCTTCCCTGTGGCACCTGGGCTGGTGGCTCGGGATGGAGGCAGCGTCCCGTACCGTGGGACAAACACCCTGACCCTGCTTAACCCTTCCTCACCTGAGCCCTCCTCACTTGTAGAAGCGCCACCTGCCCTCGGTGCTGTGTTTTCTAGCCCCGTGCCCCCCGGTGCTTTGCTCTCAGAGCTCTTTGCCCTTTGCTCACTGGCAGGGTGGGCTCGCTGCAGCGCACAGCCTCACAGCACACCCCAGGTTGGATGGCTTCATGCCACGGTCTGCCTCCGTGCCACCAGCACCTCCGTGCCCGGGGTGAAGGACCGTGCCCCGCGTCCCAGGGGACCCCTTCCCAGTCGTGTCCGCAGCCGGCCCCGGCCCAGCAGCGCCTCGCGGCCCCGGCGCAGCCAGCAGAGCCGCGTCTGGGCTCAGACATACCTGAGCGATGGAGCAGTGCTTACGCAGGCCGGGCGGTGAGTCACCGCGGCAGGAATCACCCCAGCGCCCAGCGCGGCTCCAGGAAGCCGGCGCTTACGTGGTGTAAACACAATCCCGGCGTCGCAGCGAGGGCAGCGGCCGGGAGGGACGTGCGTCACGCCGCGGGGCCGGGGTGGCCTTGGGGAGCGCAGGGGAGGAAACAGACCAGATTTGGGGGTTTCATTAAAAAATAGTGCTCTTTATTATAAATTATGGAAACATTTCCTTTCTGAATATAAATATAAATATGTGCAAAGTTTCATCTGAGTTTTGTTTTGGTTGAATTTTCAAGCATGGTTTTGCTCAGCCCTCGAGGCTGGAGGTGAAGATGGAATCTTTATAAAAGACAGTGATTCACGTAGACCTGTAAACATCTCTTCGGTAAAAAAAATAAAGAAAAAAGGCCAAAAAAAAACCCACCACAACTGCTTCTCCAGGCAGACGCAGAGGAACGCTCACGGGACAGCGCTCTCAGGGCATCCTCCTGCCGCGTTTCCGCAGGCATCGGTGCCCCGGGGAGCAGCACGGCCAGGGGCCCGGCCGGGATGGAGAGCTGGGGTCCGTGGGGAGGGGCCGGGCAGGTGGGGTGCAACACTCGGAGTAACGGCCCGGTGCCAGCTCCGTGTCCCTTCGGTGCTCCTTGCAGACGTGAGCATGCAGGACTCTGTTGTCAGGACGGGCTGCTTCCCCTCCGGCTTCGCGGCGTGTTGCCGGGACCATCACCACTCCGCGTCGCCAAACAATGTGCAGTAACCCAGACCACGGGACGAGAAGAATATTAAGGCTTAGTCCCTTGGAAAATGGCAACGAGGGCAAAAAGGCAGCGACCTCCAAGTCTGGGGCCTGGTGTGAAAGGAGCTTCCACCCACAAGGAGGCAGCAAGAGGTAAAGTACGGGCAAAAACCACTTTCCCCTTAAAACCGAGGAAAAGCGTCAGGCACCAGCTGGACTCCAGTGCTTCTCATTCTCTCCTGGCGGGAGGGCTGTGGCCAGACCCCTCCGGCGCGGTCCCACCAGGGTGGCCATGCCATGCAGCGGGCGCTGTCCCTGGGCTGCCCGCGCCCTGGGGCTCTGCCGACCCGGCTCCCCCCGTGCCGGGGCGCACTGTAACATCCACAGTTCGACCAGAGCAGTCTCCTTCCCCCAGACGGGGGGTGTCGCGCTTCCTCGGGGTGTGCCCCCCAACACGACGGGCACGAGCCACAGCCCCGGGTCCACCACAGCTCGCCCCCAGTCCCCTCCCCTCCTTCCCAGAGGGAGAGGCTTCTCGCGCCCCGCAAGTCCCTGCTTCTGCGGGGTGTTGTGCCTGTCCCCTGCTCTTGTGCTTGTAGCGTGCGACCTCCCTGTGCGGGCCCCTTAGAGGGGGGCATCGTACTGGTCCAGGAACTCCTTGATGGGGGCCGGCAGCTGAGTCATCTTCTCGTAGGAGTCCAGGTGCCCGTTGACGGTCTTGCGGCAGAGGTGCTGCAGAGTGGAGACGCTGGAGGAGAGCGGGCGGCTGAGCACCAGCGGGATCTTCTCGCCGCCCGAGTAGATGTAGTAGGTGCGCTTGGGGTGCAGGCCCCCCCCCGGCTGCTCGGGGACGGCGCAGGGAGCGGGCGGCATGTAGTGATGGACCAGCTTGAGCACGCAGTCGAAGCGGGGCACGGGCTGGCTGCTGCGGGGGTCGCTCTGCAGGGAGAAGCTGCCCCCCTCGCACTGGATGCGCAGGTTCTTGGTGCCCGACTCCGTCTTGACGCTGAGGGTGAAGAAGTGCCGCTGGTCCGAGCTGTCCCTGATGAGGAAGGTGCCGGCGGGCTCGGCGCTCAGCAGCAGGTTGGCCTCGCCGCCCGTCACCGTGCTCCAGTAGAAGCCGCTCTCCTGCAGCTTGCGCACGGTGTTGACCACCAGCTGGTACTCGCTCTTGGAGCTGAACGTCTTCAGGCGCAGGCTGGTGTCGAGGGGGCGGCTCATCCCGGCGGTGGGGAACTTGCTGTGGGTGACCATGGCGCAGGGAGCCAGCTTTGCGCGCTCGGGGTGCTGCTGCCGGGAGCAGCGGCTGCTACACCATCACCTGCGGCGGACACGGCGGTGAGCGAGCGGCGGACCCTGCCCGGGGCACCCCCGGCCCCGCCACCCCCGGGGCACGGCGCCCGCTCCCCTCCGCGGATGGCCGCGGCTCCGGTCCAGCCCCGGCCGTCCCTCGCGGGGGGCACCCCCGGCCGTCCCCCCGGTCCCCCCAGTTCCCCCGGTCCCTCCGCCTCCCCCCGATCCGATCCGATCCGGTCCGGTCCCGTCCCGTCCCGCCCGGTCCCGTCCGTCCGTACCTGGGGCGCGGGTGCCGGTCTCGGCGGCGGCCGGGGCGCGGGGCGCGGGGCTCGGTGCGCGGCGGCGGGCGGCGGCGGAGCTGCCGGGGCCGCCCGGGGAGGCCTCTTATAGCGGGCGGAGAGCCCGCCCTCGGGTTCCTGGAACTGCGCGGCTTCTTGTAACGCTCCCCGGCGCCCTCCCCGCGCCCCGCCCGGCTCGGCCCGGCTCGGCTCGCCGCCAGGCACCGCCGGCCCATTCCGGGCAGCGCGGCCGCCCCCTCCCGCTCCCATTCATGCTCTTTCCTTCTAAGAAGAGGTGAGTCCCCGGCCAGCCCGGGGGCCGCTGCCCCCCGCCCGCTCCGCCCCCCCCCGCCCCGGGGCGCACGGCAGGCGGGCGGGGGGCGGACACGGCACCGAGTGGGGGGCGCACCCCCGGGCTGCTCCGGGGCGCGGGGACCCCGAGAGCCGCAGCGGGACCCCCGCCCCGCGGCAGCCCCCCCGGACCGGCCCCCGGTGGGCGGCGGCGGGGGGCCCGGCCCGGCGCCCACCGCCCGGAGCCCCGCAGCGCCCCGGGGGGCGCGAGCCCTGCGGGGAGGGGGCCGCAGCCCCCCGGCGGATCGGGTGTCTGCGCCTCGCCGAGGTTATTTCAAGCACCACATTCCAGCCTGTGCTGGCCTCGGTTGCACTTCCCAGCAGACCTGCAGGGAAGAAAACCGCCCTCACTTCGCACGCTTGGGAACGACCGGGGTGACCCCCCCCCCGGCTGGGGCCCGGGGGCTCCGAGGGGCCGCCCAGCTCGCCCGGCCCGCAGCCCCCCCGAACCCCCCCCGGCCGGGACCAGCGCTGCCCGGCACCCCCGGGGCTCCGGGCGGCCGCGGCGCCGGTCTGCGGGGAGCCGCGGCGAGGCCGAGCGGCCACGGCCCTTGTCCCCCCTGGCCGGGAGCCCCGAGGCCGGTCCCGGGGGGCGTCCTCATCGCCTCGGGCCCGGCGGGCGGCGGTGCCGGCGCCCCGGGGGAGGGCAGAGCCCGGTTCGGGGGGGGGGGGGGGCTGGGAGCCGGGCGGGGAGCGGCACCGGGACCCCCGGGGGGGCTTCCCCCGTTTATTTCGGGTGTTGTGAGCGGGCCCCGAGCACTGCGGGCTTGGCTCCGTCCTCGGGGCCCGCTTGGAGCCGCGGGGCTCGGCCCGGAGCCGCCGCTGCCAGGCAGGGGCCGAGCAGGCGCGGGGCGGTTCTGGGAAGCGAGGCTGCGGGGAAGCCGCGGGGCTGAGCTGCGAACGGGCTCTGGAGCCCTGCCTGGGGCGGGGAGGGGCCGGGAGGCTCCGGCACGGCCGGGCCCAGGCGGCGGCTCCTCCCGGGATGGGACGGGGGCGGCCCCCAGCCCCCTGCCCCCAGCCCCTGCCCCCAGCCCCTGCCCCCAGCCCCCGGCCCCCTGCCCAGCCCGGGGGGGCTCCCCCGGGGCCCCTCCTCGCCCGGCCGGGCCCGGGGCAGCCTCGTGTGGGGGGGGGGACGGTGTCGGGGGGGGGGGGCGCTCCCCGCACAGCCCCGGGCCCGGGGGGGCCCTGCCGGGATGGGGGGGGGGGGGCGCAGCCAGACGGGGCCGTGCACCGGGGGGGGAACCGGGCACGGCTCGGGGCGTGCGGCCGCGGCCCGTGGGGACGGCGCGGCCCGGGGGGTGCGGGGCCGGGGGACACTGAGTGGGGGGGGGCACTGAGAGGGGGTCGGGGCCGAGCCCCGGGGCCGGGGGCGACCGGCGCGGCGCGGGCAGCCCGGAAGCGGAAGCGCGTGGCGGGCGCGTTGCCATGGCAACGGGCGGAAGCGGAAGGCGCGCGGGGCTGATGGCGGCGGCGGCGGGGGGCGCGGCGCTGTGGCGGCGGCTGTCGGCGTGGCTGCCGCGGGGCCGCCTGGGCCTGGCCGCGCTGCTCGGCCGCCTCTCCGACCGCCTGTCCCGCGGCCGCGACCGCCGCGCCCGCAGGTAAGGAGCCCGGCCCAAGGGGGGGCCGGTTCCGTGGTCCCCGTGGTCCCGTTACCGCCGATCCGGGCCTGCTGGCGGCTGCCGGGCCTGTACGAGACCGCCGGGAGCGGCCCCCGGAGCCGCCCTGGCCCGGTCCCCCCCCGGCCTCCCGGGCACCGCTCGGGGCCTGCGGGGAGCGGCGGGCGCGGGGCCGGCCCTGGCGGGGCCGAAACCCGGGGCTGCCCCCGCCGCTACCGGGCAGAGGAGGCCGCGTGCTGCAGAACCGCGCCCCGGGGCAGGGCCGGTCGGACAGGGCGGTTTGACAGAACCCCTGAATAAAGAGGGGCCTCGGGCACCCGCGGGCACGGCTCCTGCCCCTCGTGGTGCGGGCGGCAGCGGGGCCCTGTCCGGGGCGGGTTTGTTTCAGTGCCCCCGGTGCAGCCGCCCCCGCGAGGTCATCGGGGTTGTGTGGGGGGCAGCTCCGGTGGCACCGTGCCTGTCCCCCCTTCCCTGCGGGCAGCAGATGCGTGGTGGCCGCGCTCGCTGCCCCAGAGCTCTGTGTTTGCCCAGCGTCTGCTGCTTCCCCTTGGCAAGCCGAGGAGGTGGTTTTCCAACTTCTCGTTTGGTTTGATCGGGGTTTGTTAGCGCAGACAAATTGCTGAACTGAGCCCTGGAAAGGCCTGACGGAATCTGACAAAGGTGAGCAGCGCGTGGATCCCCCGCGGCGGCTGTGGGTGAAAGGACAGCGCCAGATCCTGCAGTTTCACTTCACCTCGGGCTCTGAGGATGAGGTTTTACAGAGAATAAATGTTTCAGCTCCAGCATGAGTTGGTACCAAAACCGCAGCTTTTAAAAATAGAACATGCGAAAAAAAATCCCTCGTTTATATTTAGGGTCAGCTTCTTATGTAGAAAAGATCTGAGGTGGTTCCTCTTGGTTCTGTTTTCTCTTTCCGGTTAACGCGATGATGTGGAATCCGCGGGAAGGGTTTCCCCCCGCCGCTGGTTTCTGTTTCTCTGAAAGCTTCCTTTGTTGAAGTGTGGAATTTTGACGATTTCTTCATAATGTGACAGGGTTTCTATTGTCGTGTGCTGCTGAAGGATTGTGTTACACTCAGGCTGGTGCTTGAGCTTTTTGCAGTCACTTTTGGGTAGAAGTTGCTGCTTTGGTGAGCGGCTGCTGTGCCGTTGTTAGTGCTGGCTGGGGCAAAATACTGCTTTCTGTGATCATTGTACGAGTCTTGGGCGCGTGACGCTAAATGAGTTCAAACAGTTCTGTCTTGGATTACCAGCTCAGACAGAGCAGGGATCTCTAAAGCACGGAGGGAGTTTGGTTAGCGGGTAGCAGCACCCGCACAGAATTCATCTGACTGTAAGCTGCTGGTGCTGCAGGCGCAGAGGAGCCCACGAGCCGAGTGTTGGCCTGGTGGAGCGAGGGTGTGGGTGAGGCTGCAGCTCGGGAAATGGCTTGGAATCCTGCTTTAGGAAGGGGGGTTCGCAGCCTTCTGCGAGGGCAATCGGTCAGCTCTGGCCAGTGGAGCAATAAGGAAAACAGCTCTTTTTTCCTGCTGATCAATTATTGTCATATAATGCCATAAAAAATTGCTACTGTTACCTCGGTGGGAATAATCGTAGAGAACATAATTTGCAATCTGCAGGGCGAGGCTCTAGTCCTGAGTTTGTTACTGCTCAGTGAGCTGCGTGCTTTGTTTTCACAGAGTGTGTGGGGATGCTAATTTGAATTCAGGGCGCTCGGGCGTCCTGGCTCCATTCGCCATACGCCCTGGAACGATAAAGGGATGGTGGGACCCTGGGCCCATACGTGGCCGGCGCCTTGAGACATGAGCTGGGCAAGGTCCCAATCAAGTTCTGTAAAAATGGACTTGTGTGGGCTTAAAAACCAGCACTTCTGGTATTCCTTTTCTGCGTTGAAAAAAAAAAAAACGAACTTTTTTTTCCTCCATCTCCTACGGGAGATTTCTGTTGTTCACAGCTGAACTGCGTAATCTGTAAAATTTACGGGTGTCCAGTCTGAGCCTAGTCCCCGTGATCTGTTGAAAGACACAATCCCAGGAATTCTTGCACAAACTGACTCAGACCTTTGTTGCAATGAATAGTCAGTGACAAACTAGTGGATTTTCCAGGAAACACAACTACAAAGTGTCTGGCTTCTGCGTAAGGGTACTCGGAAACCTTGTGAAGATCCAGTGTTTTATCATGAAGCAGTTGGGTGAAATCATCTTCCTGGAATCTGTGGTCATCTGGGCTTTGGATTATGGTAAAACCTAAAAGTTCCTCCTAACGAATTCTGGTAAAGGTCGTTATCAAGTTTCTCCTTGGTTTGTGGTGATGGCAGAATGCGCTGGGGTGGGCCGCAGGCTGGTGGTTGCCTCCTGGCCCCGCGGGACCTGGCGCTCCTCTGGGACGAGGCAGCCGCCCCCGTGCTGGCCTGACCGAAGCCGGGCTCTCGCGAGGAGGTTTCGCAGTCCCAGACCCTTTCTGTCGGCTCTGGGGAGGCAGTTGGGTCACTCGCTCTTTGATTCCTGGACCTCATGGGAGTTGTTGCTGCTAATTGTGCTGAAATGTGGTTTTGTCATGTGGACAGGCTCCTACCGGGGGTTTTTGTGTGACTTGATGATCTTGCATGCATGCGGAGCCTCCAGAGGAGAAAAACACCATTTCCTTCTTGCCATCCCCCTGAGCGGGACTCCTGGCAGTAAGTCGGTTTCTTCGAGTGACTTCAGAGCAATGCAGTTTGTTCTGGAATCTCTTCTTGAAGAACGAGCCTCCTGCTGGTGCCTCGACTTCCCCGTCACTTGGAAGTCTGTGGCAGGAGCGGTGTCCTGCCAGGGCAGCACGGCTGAGTGGGGCTGAGTCGGGCTGTGCCTTGCCTTGTGCCCCCCGAGACACGCTGCCCGTGAGCAGTGCTCTGGTGCTGTGCCTTTTGCTGGGACTGCGTTCAGGCACTTCGCATGTTCGGGATCTTCTTTTGGATGAGTTTGAGGGCTTGAGGCTTGTTCCTTTGTTTCATTAAGGCCCTTTTAGAGCAGTGTGCCTTGTTCTGAAACATCTTTACTTGAAGTAGAAACAAGTGAGCCTTAGCCCAGCTGAGAGCTAAGCTAGACATAGAAATCACAGTTAACCACGGAAAAACCATGCGTGTGTGATTGAGATTGAGGCAGAATTCAGAAGCGATTGGTTCCGGGGATGGCTG